TCTATATTACCTATTTAAAGAGTCCATCTAAAAGTTTTCTACCAATTGTTATACCTAACACCTCTGCTTGGATGTTTTACTTTAAACCTTCTAAACCTGTAATCTGTGTTAACATTACTAAGTCATAATTAGATGCCCGAATTATTATCTTAATCTTAGAACTAATTTATTCTTAAAGTAAACCTCTCAGAGCCTTTTGTACCTATTTTTACAACTGATTTAAATATTACTATGACAGAACTAACACTTGTGGTCAGAGCTAACTATTAAACTACTATACCCTTGTAAAGTTTACTTAGACTCTAGCATCTACTTCACAGCATAACCCCAGTACTTAGTATACCCTTGCCTTTTTATCTGCCTTTTTACCAAACTTCCAATTTAGATAGTCTGTGTAGAACTATGACTAGTCCATCAGTATATCAAATCAATCTAATATCCTTTTCTTTTAGTTCATTCTGGTGGCCTGGTTGGTAATATCCTCAAAACTTTCAACCTGAAGGTTCTTGCCTGTCCAACTACTATGACTGAGTACTATGATCCTGATATCCATTTTCCTAAGCTAGCCTTTAGAGATGTGCTATTTATTACATAATTAATTAGAGAAGAAGTGGCTAGTAGCAGTTTATTATGTCTATATAAGCTTCTAAGTTTTGAATAGTCATTGTAATCATATGATATTATCTGTTACATGAAGATCTTAATATGATATATCATATTAAGATTTTATTAATTAACTTAAGCTAAAATACGACTTAGTTTTTTATAACATATAAATATATACTACAACTTTATATTTTTTTAATATAAAAATTCAGGTTTGAGATTTAGTACACAAATGCATATACTATCTAATTAGGATAGCTGTGCAATGCATGATGCAGTGCAAAACCAGTATGATCATATATGACAAGTATCAAACTTAAGTTCAAGCAACTCAAAACAAAATCAAAGTTTCATTTTATTAGCTGTCTGCCAATCCAACCTTTGCCAATCTTCTAACTAAAAAAAACCTTTAGTACAAATGAAAATAAAAAGTAACTCAATATTCTAATACCTCAATTATAACATTTTTCATTATTATTGCTCAGCCAGATAACAAAAAGAAAGATATATTAAAATCTGCAATTCAGTCACAGACCTTACATTAAAATGTTTGGGTATCTACTTAAATATTTTGTCTAAATTAACTATTTACGCTTAATAATAAATTACATATTTATAGTTACTAAGCATATATATCATAACAGTCTAATACTCATCTAACATTATATCTTTTGTTCTTTTGTATAGGAAAATGCATCCAAGAGAAATTTACAGTAAAATAAAAATTAATATTATATACAATAGCAGGTGAATATGCATTGCTATCACATGAAATCTAATTACCAAACAAGAAGTATTTCATTGCTATTATAGTTATAGTACTAATTAATTACTAAACAAAAGGCCCTTGCATTACTATTGTCATAAAACCTACTTATAAAATAGCAAGTCCTTTTACTACTGTCATAAGATCATAGCCAGCAGGCTAGCCTGTTCTAGTCCCTACTTTTATAGCCATAAGGCCTAATTATAAAGTGAAAAGATTTTGCACTACTATTACTATGAAGTTTAACTACCAAAGCAGATTCTTGTAGTGCTATCATAACTATTTTGGCTATCATTAAACAAAAAGCCTTTTGTACTTCTAGCATTACAGTGCCTATTTATAAAATACTGGATCCTTAAACTGCAATTATTATGAAGCCTGATCACAAATACGAAGTCTCTTGTAGCCTTGTAGTCTTAGAGCCTAATACATAATAAAAGATTCTTTTTACCAAAATAAAAATTTTTAAAAATTGGTATAGGTTACATCAAAAAAGTTGAATGAAACCATCCCTTTCATATTTCATATGATCGTACTAGTACTAAACTATATTTTATATAGTTTGCAAAAATATTATGTACAAAACATATATGCATGTATTAAATTTTTTTTACTGTTTCTATGTCTTTTATATAATATAGCTTGAACTACTATTTATTACTAGAACAAGAAATAAAGAAAATTAAATTTTATTTAGAATAAAATAAATAAATAGTCAGCTACATATAGTTTTTATTCAACATCAGAAACTGCTTCTAGTAAACAAGAAGTTTTAAGTTTATGAGAGAGACCAATAGAAGATAAGTTTGAGAAGTTTTCCAAAAAGGCTGCATTACTTAATTCAAATTGTTGAGTATCAAGATGATTTAATAATATGATAACTTCTTCTACAGTTAAATATGGTTCTATAGATCTTGAAGAAAAGATTAGCTGAGTAGATGATATATTATTTGTTAATTCAATAGAAAGTTTAAAATTATTATTATATGCAAAGGCCTGATTTATGTGTGTTTTTTTGGGATAGATTGTTTTTTATAATTGAAGATTATTTTCATAATAGAAAAATATTTGTTACACATATTGCAATAAAGTTTTTGATACATCTCTGATGATATTGAAGAACATATTTTATTATATTTGGGCAATTTAATTTTGTCTATATATTGCAAAATATGAATTGGATTTAAATAATAATTATCTTTGCTTTTAGTTAATAGTAGAAGAAACTCATTATTTTCTCTTAATAGATTAAATGTTTTCTTAGCATATATATCATCACAGCAATTATAGTCTGAACATTTTTGCATATTAAGAGAATAACAGCAGATCTGCATATAACATTCTATCTATAACTATAAAGAAATTTCTTTTTCATTATTTTGAAATAGGTCTTTATTATAACCAACATGATCAACATATATCTGCTTTTCATAAATCTTATCATGCCTTCAAATTTCATATAGATATTTACCAGCAAATTCAAAGTTATGTCTTGTCAATTCCTTATCTACAGTCACACCTTGACTATTAAGATGTGACCCGAATCTATCAATAGGTAGTTCAATTTTGGCAAGTTTTTTAGATAGTATATATATGCTATGCTCAACTGGATTATATGCTGACTAGTAAGAGGCATAAGTTCGAACTGACAGGTAATCTAGATTAAGCTTATAAAACAAGCAGCAATATTCAATTATATTTTTTAAATGTATTGGATTTTTTTAGGATCTGCCATTTACTATCCAAATCTATATAAATTTAAAATGTTTTTTATATTTTAGTATTTGTAAATACTTATTGCACTTTGTAATTTTAAGTAAATCTTTTATATATAATATTAAAGAAGTTCTTGCAAAATATTCAGAATAAATATAAATAAACAGTTGACCTTGGCATAATGATTTATTAGTATCATCAGAGTTAATAATTAGATAAACTGAGGGTATGAGTTTTTGTTTTGCTCCATGAGAAAAATCATGATCAGATACTGTAACAGGTTTATTAAAAGATTGCAGGCTTCTAAAGGTTCTGCCAACTGCTAGTATATCTAAGCCAACTTTAGTCTTATCATCTTGAAAGATAATAAGACTATAGTTGGTGAAAGTTGAAGTGAACATTTTAACTGCTTTAACTGATGTGAGATAATAATATTTGTCAATATAGGATTTTATTTTAGATTTAGAACCTGTGCTAATTTTGATATTTGCAGAATAGTGATAATAAAGCACATTATGAGTATTAGCATATCGAGATAAAAGATAGGTTGAAAGTGTCTGTTGAGTAATATATATATTATATTTTTCTTGTAAAGCATCTCTTAAATGCTTAATAGTACAAACTTTAATTACAGTTTTTCTTTTTTTTTTGTCAGCTGCACCAAATTCAACATATTTGTGTATTTGGTCAAGCAAGTCTGAATTTTTTTGGAGTTCAGATAGGTGCCTTCTAGTATCATATATTTCAATAATCTCATCATTAAGTTGTTTTTTTCTCTTTTCTCAAAGTCTCTCTTAAGCTGTGACATGACATTAAAGTAGATTAAAATACTTTTTTTCTTATACAATATTTGCATGAGTATTCTTTAATTTTTTGTATTGTTATCCAGCTAAGTTATATGCCATATGACATAGCTAACCAAATAAAAATAACCCAGCTAGAAAAAACAGAATCATTAGAAAGAACTAAAATATAGAAAAACTTCTTTCTGACAAAAAGAGCCAAGTAAGTAACTTAGTCAGTAATAGAAAGATCACTAATATAGTTGTAATTATTATAGTCTTAGATAATGGTAATATAGACCAAGAAAATGTATATAAAATATTCTTATAAATAAAGACCATAAAGGCCCTAAGGAGAAGAGAAACCCCTTAGATACTTTGCTTTATTAAAAATAATAACTGATCTCTTACATATTAATAAATACATAAATGTCTTCCTAAATACATTAACTAATCACTAAGTTCTCAGACTATAAAAATCTGCTTTTTGAATTTATCTGTTTTAACCTATAATATTGTTATACTCCTATCTAGCTGTTATATCCTAAAGTACTAGAATCAGCCATGGTTACTCAAGTCCAACTATCTAAAGAAGTGTAAAAGTTAAAGTTATATGTATAGTCCAATTACTCAAAGTAGTGAGATAATTGGGGGTTAAAGTTAGTAGACAGCTCAAACAAGGGAAGCAAGACAAGTTAAGAAGAAATACTTATCTATGGATCTAAACTACTGACCAAATCTAAATGCCTTTTTTTAACTAAGCCAACTATAGGTTATATGAGAATTTGGATTATGGAGTAACTGATTTGCCAAATTAACCAATTTTAGTATATTTAATATTAAAGATCCTTATTACTAGTATGAACTAATAAACTTTTATATTCTTTTGTCTTAGATTCTACTTCTTGAATTAATTCTAAAGCTTGATGTTGAGTGATGTATTGAAAGGCATCTCATTGAATAAAAATAAAGTATTGATACTAGAATTAGTATTAGAATTAATCCTAAAATTTAATGATTCTAAACTAGGTAAATTTGGAGAAAAAAAAAAGGTTGTTGTTCGAATAATAGGTGGACTTGCTGCAAGATATTGGTTAATTAGTTTTCTAACTTCTATTTTAGATTCTTTTCGATATTTTTTCTATTTCTTATTTGCCACATTCATTAGATCCTGTTGTTTTATATTCAGATTAGAAGCTTGAACCATCATAAAGTAGGTGAAAGTATTACAGAACTCTTGGTATAGCATGTTTGGTGTAGCATATAAATAGTTTATTGAAAACTTGAGTGTTGAAAGAAAGCTTTGACTCATTTTGAACTGAAAAAAATTATTAAATTCTAGAGAATTATTATCCTAAATTCAGAATATTTTTATTAATTTTATTTATATATTGCTTTTATAATTTTTTTTTTATTTTACTAAAGTTTATTCATACTTCAAATATTAATGTGGCTTTGATAGAAAGTAATTTTCTTTTTTTTTTCTTTTTCATATGAATTCAAAGACACTTAAATTTGCCTTTAGATTTTACACTTTTTTGCATAACTTGTTATGCAGTTTCAACTATTTGGGCATCACTACTTTTATCTTATGCATAACTATAAATTTTCAATCTTATATTGTAAATACAAAAAGATTTTAGTTAATGTGGCTTTAAGCTTAATAATAGAAAGTAATTCATTTAATTTTCTTTTCATTATATAATACTAATTTTTTTCTTCTTTTTTGCATGAATTTGAATTTCTCTTTAGACTTTACATAGCTTTTCATATAACCTTAATTATTTTGGTATTATTGCTTTTATTTTGTTTATTATTATATGTACTACTATGAATTTTATTACTTGACTTTTGAGGTTAGCCACTTCGATGCATATTAATATTAGAATTAGGTGGCAAAATTATGTTTATTATTTCTAGTTTACACTTATTATATGGACACTAAGTTGTGAATATAAATTTTATTATTACTGTTTGCAAAATAATATATCTTCAATCAAATTTTGTGAATCATAGTTTATGTGTATAACTACTTAATTGTTGCCTGATTGCATGATTGTGAAATGTTACTTTTGAGAATATGAGTGTTATTTTGAAGATATTAATATAGGTCAAATTATAAAAATATTTATTTGTATTGAGTTTTAATTACTTTATAATCTCTCAATTGGATAACAATTAAATAATTGATATGTGGAATATGATCTGCAAAATTTGATTATTTTGCAATGCAATAAATTTACAAGTATTAATATCTGGTCTTGCAAACAAATTGTTTTAATTTATACAATTTATAAAAACCTGATTATTATGAAATTACTTTACTTGCAAGCTCATAAAATTAAAAAAAAGACTTGGTTTAATTATAATTTATGAATTAAATTCTAATAAATAATTATACTGCCTAAGTTATTTAAGTTGTACAAACCAAAAGTTACAAATATAATATAATTAATTCAATTTGCATATTATCAGTTTGGAACTGCTTAACAGCTTAAAGTCTATTCAAAAAATTAAATTACATTCAATTATTCAAATTATATAATGATATAATACTGTAATTTGAATATTTATCATTACTTGAAATTGGGATAAGAGTAAGACTTATAAGTAAAATCATTTTAATACTTTATTAGTGTATTTAAATAAATGCTTCTATATTTTTATTTCATCAAGTCTGGCAAAAATCACAATTTGATTGGCCAGTATGCATATAATTTAATATAGATTCTTATATATTATTATGTAGAAAGGAAGATATAACAAGAAAAAATTATATAATAAACAGCATGTCTCTAATTGTTTGGTCTACTTATAAAAACTTCCTTTATAAATGCATTCATGTGATTATTAGCCAATCAAATTTATTATTTCTAGGCTATTAAAGAAATATTAGCTTAAACCTGTCATAATTTGTAAATATGTTGGTGGTTAAGAGTTTAAAGTAGTCTAGGTTGATATTAAAATATTATTTATATATTAGAAC